CTCCTCTGTTCTTGGAGAAGACTCCGCGATCGGGTACGAAATTCATTCCGCGCGACCCTCTTCGGCTTCGAGCAAACCTCCATCCCTCCGATCTTGACTACCACCAAAGTGTTGCCGTTTGGGGTTTCCCGTCCCACATTGCGGAGTTCGCGCTGTTTGCCGACGAATCTCGGAGGCTTTCTCTCGACTTAGCGGCGACAGGAGAACCGCGTCGCGTTTCGATCGTTGAGCGCCCTGGCTGACGACTCTTTCGTCAATTTGTGCCTCGAAATGCGCCGCGATTCTATTAAGATCAAGATTCTTTTACGTATGTACACGGCACACATATACATGCGTACGTATGTATGTCCGGGTCCTATTGTATTTCAGTCTACAAATTTCAATATGGAAACTATTCCTGCTCGCACTTTAATTCAATGAAATCTGTAATAGCCACTATCAAATATCGCGTTCGCTTGCGCCATTAAATATAATACATTGATGATGTTATATACATCTGCTGCCGTTTAAAATATAATAATTACTGTAAACCACCGAACGTGTCTGTACCTCCTAATCCTCGGACACGCACGTTCGAGCTGCGACGAAAATGACACGCGGCTCCGAAAAAGACCGGCGATACTAATGTCGCCAACGTTTAGCGTTGCAGATTACAGGAAGCGGCGTTTATCGGGGAAATATAGCGCGTATCAGGACGCGAAATCACGAGCGCCGTTATAAAGGATCGTACTTTCCTGTCGCTCCGTCTCGAAACTCATCCTCTCCCCCTCCTCTCGCACCTACGTCCCCGTAATGTTCCTTTTTATGGTGCATGATTCGAAGCCGCCCCCGGGATCGATTTTGTTCCGTAGCGCGGTACTTATCGTACCCCGTTACGAGGGCGCATTGCTTTTTATGGTGGTTACACGCTCCGATCGCACACGGCACGCCGTCTCTCTCTCTCTCTCTCTCTCTCGTTTCTTCATATCGTCCCCCCTTGTTCCTTTTATTCTCACGAAACGCGAAGACGTCTGTGCCGTGCGAAAAAACATGCATCGCCTACCCACATTATCTCATAGATAGATTACTCGCTGTGGATTATTCGTGGAGAAAGTCGGGCGAGTGCCAAGTCGGGGCTTCGTATTTTAAGGATGCATTAAGCTTCTTTCGCGCGACGTAGGATCATTCAGTATAATTAATTTAATCGCTTAATTGAATAGCGCAATCGATAGCAGATGCTAAACCTGTACGTCACGCGAAATTGTTAATGTACCTCGGCTTCCCGACTCGGTGTCCTGATTTCGGAGAGGCGCGTATTTATATATTACGATTAACCCACACTCGGCTATCGATCGTGACGCCGCGGATTCACGTGACGATCGGGCAGAGTATTTTAAGTGCAATTATATCGTCGCCGATCGGGCCGAACATAGAATCGTCGCTCGCTATTTCGGACCGAGTCTCCAACGTGGACTCCCATGCATCCATAATCCTTCGTATTTATATTTCTGAATCAACGACGGGATGGCGAGAATCTTTAACGGCGGTGAAATAAAGTCGAGCTTACGCGACATGACATAACTAATACGATTTACACGATCAAATACCTCGTTTCGAAACAGTAATCGGTAAACTTGTATTTCAAACAGAATCTATATCGAGAAGCAATTCAGATTTGTGGTTCATTTACATTGAACATCCTGAATATCTCTCGGTTATTAGATAGTCGCTTTTAGAGAAAAAATACCCGTAAATGCCGTGGGGTAAACCGCTGAGGACATTTACTAAACGTTGCTAGACATTTTTTAGGCATTAGTTTGGGCATTAGGCCTTATTGGAGGGCATTATAAAGATAAAAGAAGATAAAATAAGACGAAACAAGATGAAATAAGATAAAACAAGATAAAATGAAAAGACTTCAATGATAACTTGAACTTGTCTGGAAATTTTGATGATAAAATAAAACAAAAGAAAATAAAAACCTCAGAGGATTGCTTGACCATGTCTGGCAAATTTTAATGTTCGAAATCACGACGTTTCGACCATTGTTTGTGGTCCTTTGCAAGTGATGCAAACAAGCCTTAGTGTCCAGTCAGTGCGCACTAGCGCAAGCAACCAGATTCGCTATGAGAGCCCCTTGTTATTCATTCGATTATTCAAATATTCGATTCAAAATAAACTCTACGCGGAGAGAATTTTCTCTTGAGATTTCTCCTGAAAACCATGTGATCGTGGGACAATTATGAAAGTTTTTTTTGCAATTTTACCGTACATTTTACTAGTAAAATCTATACGAAGTGTAATTACTAGTGAAATGTATGGTAAAATTTCAAAAAACTGTCATAAAATTCTATTTCATGACAGTTATATCAAATTTTAAAAGAAAATCCCCCGCGTATCTCGAGCGAAGTGATCTCGTCGACGTACAAATTGCTCAGCGGCGTCCGCGAAGACGCGTCGCCGAGAGTCCACCGAGAGAAAAAAAAATGCAGACTCTGCCGGATGCGGGCGGCGTAACATCCCAGAATCTCATTGCGATTTCATGCTACACTCGGAAGGAGACGACGTCGGCCGACCGGCTCGTTTCGAATGCTACAAATGTGCCGCGCGCGCCCGTTCAGGTGGCTCGAGTAGGTGCTGAAAAAAATCACGTCTGCATTTACATAAGCGCCGGTATAAACCACTCGGCAGAGAAATCCCGACATAAAACCCAAACAGGATCCCGCGTGCGGGACAGCACATCCGTTGAATACGCAATGGCCGTATGTAGCCGATGTACCCGTCTACTGTACCCCCCCCCCCTCTTTGCCCAAAAAATGCTTTTATTATTCACCGGTGAATTACGAACGCGACGTTATACGCGTTTTACCCCACGGCATTTGCACCGCGACGTGGAGTTTACACGGCTCATCGACGACGTCTTCGACGATAAGTCGCTCGTTCAATAAGTCGCCAGTATACGAGACGCGTTCTCCTCTCTCTTCTGTAGTTTTTTTTTTTTCATCGGTTTTATTGTCGTATAAACTTTCCTCACGATCGCAATATAGCGCGAGACAATTTTCGTGCGCATTGTTACGTCAGAAACCGACGATGACTGATCGAAAGTTGTCTCGACAAGTACCGTGAGACAAACCCAGGATACGTTTGTCCTATTATTTTATTATTAAGAATTAAAAATGACAAAATTGAAGACAATGTACTCCCGAAGGCCCGGTTTTTCATTTTCTGGTTAATTGTTAACCGGAGGTTAGTTGACTCTCTGTCTCTTCTCAGATAATAGAACAGGATGGAGAGTCGACTAACTTCTGGTAAACAGTTAACCAGATAGTGAAGAACCGGGCCCAAAAGTCAATCGGTGGATTATCACTGGAGACAGTGAAGAGTCACTGATTTACAGTTGCAAGTGTACCGCTGCGATTTTTAGTGGTATACTTATAACTGTAAATCAGTGACTATTCACTATTTTCAGTGATAATCCACCGATTGATTTCTAGAGATTAGCGATGGCCGAAGTGTTCTTGTAAGAAATAAGAGGTCGATTCGTGCCGAATAGTCTCTCTCTACATTAATGATATCCGAGGGACTCGGTTTTATTGTCATATAAACTGTCTTCACGATCGCAATATCGCGCGGGATAATTTTCGTGCGCATTGTCGCATCAGAAACCGGCGATGACTGATCGAAAGTTGTCTCGACAGGTACTGTAAAACAAACCCAGGATATGCTTGTCTTATTGTTTTGTTATGAAGAATAAAAAATGACGTAGAATTAAAGATAATGTAGCAATGCGTTCTTGTAAGGAGCGGGGGGTCGATTCGCGCCGAATGGTCTCTCTCTACATTGATGATATCCGAGGGACTCGGCGCGTCCCAGAGACGACTCAAAGTTCCGCGAGCTCTCCCGTAAGACAAATCGCGCGAACACGCCCGTCATATCGCGATCGATACACGCGGGTACGTATAACGTCCGCGAGAGTGATGTTCCCGGCGCCTGACGGGAATTTCCAAGCCCCGTAGATCCCGACGAAACGATTTTCGTGTCCCTCGTGGATCCTCGATCCATTGTGACGCGGCCGCCCTTACGAGCCCGCTTTCATGGCTCTTTAGCATTTCCGGGCGTAACGTCCCTTACGCGCCCCGAAAGGGCGCGGCGGAGGAAAAAAATTGACTTTTAAACCGGCAATAAAAAGGAAAAATGTGAAATCTTTGATTTTAAAGGCCCCGCCAGCCCCCTCGCGGGGGCGACAGTTGGCCGATGCGTATAACCCACGGTGGCAGCCTTATTTCTCTGATATCGCAAGCCGAGCACGTTCGGTACCTCGCCGCCGCGCCGTCCCGAGATCCGCGTGCAGCGGTATGTATATCGTGCCGGATTACTCCGAAATCCCGGACTTTTATACGCTGAATTTTAAAATACACTCTCTTCGGCGCCGTCTCTCTCTCTTTCTCATTTTATTCGCCGACACCCGAGAACGGACGGACGTCAGACTTGTGCGTGTGTCGAGCTACTAAAGACTTTCGGACCGTCGCGTTAAACGACATTTGTTCGCTATCTGTTGTCAGGAATGTGTTGGAAACGCCCTCGCGAGGTGCGAGAGGAAAATAAGAACGGGATAACTGCAGAGACCTCCAATCGCGATAATCCGAGTACGACGCCTGCGAATCGGCTGAAAATTTACATTTAAGAGCCTTGGGAGACGCCGGAGGAAGTAGATGAGGGGTGGCGTTTCGCAGCTTGTTTTTATTTTCTAGCAATTTCCTCGGCGGAGCAGAACGGAAAGTGACCTTAAAGGGAATTAGCGCGCTTTACCGCTCCACCGATTTCTCGTGCGACTCTCGCGCAACCGGAATTTCTTCCCGTCCCCCGCCCGTCACTTCTCAACGAATCGCCGAAATAGCGAGTGCCTTCGCTTCGCTCGCCGTTAGTCGAAATCGCAATTTTAGACGCGACGTAGGATTATAACCTCGCGCAGATTGGCGCAGCTGTAATTGTAACACGACAAAATAAACTTTTGATTGCAGATTCTGCGTGGGCGACAGATTTTATCTGTGCGACAACAAGATCCTCTGCGAGTACGATTACGAGGAGAGGCTGGTTTTCGCCAACATGGCTCTGCATCCCCCGCCTAGCGCGACTCTGGCGCACATCAAGAGACAAGTGACCCATCTTCAGCCGCAGGTAAAAATAATACAGTACGGGGAGGGGGATATCGAATGCTAAATATAGCATTTAAATAATTAGAAATCGTTTGTCGATTTTAATATGTGAATTCACTGACGGCAACGATTCCATCTAAATGAAACCGTTATGTCCGAAAAGAAACCGAGGGACAAGGTGGAAAACGGCATGCGAATTCACGTTTTAGATTACAATTATTGGGCCACCAACATCTTGCTTGGACCCAAGGGGGTGACCACTAGCGAAAATGTTGTCCCACCGATTTCATTTGATTTCATACGATTTCATCTGATTACAAATAATTTTCTTATGTACATTTCTTATATGCTTAAAAATATGTGACGTTGTTTAAATCTCGAAGAGCTGTTAGAGTTCCTCAAAACTTTCTCAAGTTGAGAAAATGTTTGTTTCAAATTTACTGTTTATTGCCTAACAAGTGAAGAAACTTAAAAATCAAGCCAAAAGGATTACGTGGGATTTCGTCAGGACTTCATAATGATTTCGGAGACACTGTCCCACGATTACGTTAAGTGGTCACCCCCTTGCTCGGACCTAAAGGCGTTCTCGCTTGTTTAAAAGAAAATCTCGTTTCCTTCTATTAGTCGCCAAACTTTCGCGCACGACGATATGGCACGAGTTAGGGCGCGTCTATCGATCAACAGACATATTTTCGTTGCGAGGTAACTCTACGTAAAACGCACGGTGCATCGTGGAATCTCCTTTCTGGACCCTGGCCATCGTGTTTCAAACTCGCAAGGTTTCGAACTCCTCAAGGCGCAACCCCTTAAGGCGGGTTAAAGTGGCAGGTCGCCCGTCCTGACCCTCCCGACAACAAAGGGCTCCCCGGGGGCTTCAGCTATGCTTTATCATCCTACCATCGTCTTACGAGTTAGGATATCGCGTGTCCTTATTAATTAAGCTCTGCCCGTTAAGCAAGTCTCGTCGCATGCCTTAACGATTCGCTCCTACTCCGTTGAAGCCGGAACGTGCGAAAGAATTTACTCTTCGCGAAGATCGTCAGACTTCCGAGGGCTGTTTCGTGAGACTACGGGCAAATTGTCGCACTTTTTTTTTTAATCCGATCAACCGATAATTTAAGAACTTTTATGGCGCGCGAGAGAACGAATCGAAATTTTTTAAATAAATGTAACAAGGCTTAAAAAGAGGAGACTAAATTTTCCTTTCTGAAGGATTGTAAAAAGATATATGGGTATTTAATAAATTTAACGATTACGGTGAAAGTAAATATAAAACTGCGATAATAAGGGACAAATGACGAGCAACAAAGGGGCGATTTTCGCGAGCAGGAACGTCCAGAATTATGAACTCATCGGCGTTAAGCTTGTTGGGATTAAGTCTTCTTGATTATCCTAAGGCAACAGCGTTGCTTCGAAACAATATCTTAAGCTCCTGCCGCACGAAGGACCGCGTCCTACTCGACCTTAGCAGCCTATCCATTTAATCCGGGTGCCGTCTTGCAAGGATCCCGCCGTCTTCCTCGTGCAATAACTTGTCACGTATTCTAATTCGCGGTCTTTAGAAATGATCTTAATAATAAAACGCTATTTTGTTATCGTAACATTAGAATCCGCCAATTTGCTAAACCGCTGAAATATACAATCTAAACTTACAATTAACTCTAATCCCTATTTCATAACCCACACGCGCACGATTGCACAAAAGAAAGAGAGAGTTTAATACTTGTAAGAAAGGAGGAAAAGTGCAATCAACACTTGGTTTAGCCAAGTTTTTCTAATAAACAATAATGTCGTGAATCAGGACCGATATATATATATTCAACCATTAAATTAGAAAAGACCCTCTTTTAATATGCTTATTTGTATTAGAGTTGTTTGCATTATATTTTTATTGAATAAGTATTAAAAATTTGTCTCATTAATATTATTGTCTTCTTTATTTCTTTCGGTAAAATCTTATGCGCGATTATTTGGATATAACATTTTCAAATAATAAAATATCTAGTTTGTATAAATATTCATTTTAGTTCCCAAACAACACGTCTAAAAGTCATCTTTTAGATATGTATCTTTAGATATGTATATCTAAAAGACGGCTTAAAGACGTCTTAAAGATGCCTTTTAGACATGCGTGCTGTATGGGTTAGCGCAATCTAATGATATCATTACTTTTGTAGAGAAGATAAAAATGTTTTTTCTTTCTAATAAAATATATCCAAACAATTAAATTATATAATTCTTGATTGGATGGCGCCTATACTTGGCGTCTTTTTCACCTTTATTTTGCAAAAGGTTATTTTTTAAGGTGATAAAGAATTACTCCAGGACCGCGAATCTTTCACGTGAAAATGTAAAACGAATTTTCCCGCGCGAAAATTGAGTTGTTAAATGTGTCATCGACAGTCGCCGCTGATAATATCGTCTCCGTTATTAGAAGATCGTTAAAGCGCGGTGGTGAAACGTTCGTCGACGGAGTTTGAACCTTCGGAACGCCCCGGAGAGGCGGTCTAAGGCCTGTGGATGCTCGTCGCACGCTTGAATCGTACGCATGCACAGAATAACGAGGTCCCCGGTTCGATGATATCAAGCCTGGTAACGTGTACTACTTATAATATGCAAATTCGCTACCCTTAACCGCCCTCGCGCGAGCGAGCTGCGTGTAATTCAGGGGTTGGTAACCCTTGCGACTCTATTCCTGGGCCGTGCGTGGCGTGCGTGTGAGTGTCGCGTCGTTTATAATGTTTAAAGAAATATCGGCTCGCGTGAATACAAGGGCGTACCGTGTAAACATTTTTCAGGGACGCCCGCGGACGCGCGTAAATCCACCTCGAGAGCGGGCGGTAACGTCTTACGTCTCGAAATTCGCCGACTCTCTCGAGCGGGGGTGACGCGTGTCGCTTTAATTAATACGGAATATTTTTTACTGCCCGGAGGAAATCGATGCCGTTGTTTTTTTCCCCGTTCCTGATAAATTTCTGGTACCGTCAATCGGGAAAAATTGGCACGTCCGCGGTGTATTCCGCGATATTGCGCGATCCAGCAGCTTTCACACGCAATATCGATTCGCTCGGAGGGTTTACGGGTTATAAATGACCGGTGTGCGAAATAACGGGATGGCAGACTAATGCCAATAATCGGCGTGGCATGCTAATGTCGTCTGCGCATCTATTACGCTAAAGCCTGATGGATCCCTCTTGACATCTCGTTTCTGGAGCGTGAATATCTTCGATCGCGGAGAACACTCAAGATACCTACCGACTAGCCCGGAGGGTCGCTTTACATTTTGCATCTAAATAAGAGGAATTAGCATGTGCGTCGCGCACTTTTGTCTCAGGTGGAAATAACGTTGAAAACGCGTTGCCTGCAAAATGAACGACCGAGCCGAAAACGTCACCCACGTTAAAACCGGAGATATTCTCGCGGCGCGGGACGCGCGTCCCCGCGAGAGGTAAATGTCGGGCTGCCGTTAGATTCAGCGCTCCGATAGAGCGCAAGGACGAAATTGCGAGGGCCTGTGAAGCGCGACGAGAGGGAAAGAGACGAAAGAGAGAAAAAGGAGAGAAAGGCGTTAAGATTCTTAAAAACCGCGAAGAGGGTGCTCGTCCTGGAGGCAGCTGCCACCCTTGTACTCCCCTTAAGCCGCGGCTCGTCGGGGGCGGTGAAGTACCGCCGACGGATAGCCGGAGCGGGGAAAGGGACGGTAGGAAGGTAGTTTTTCTGATTGCCTGAGAACAGACAGCTGTCCCAATCTTTCTCAACCCTGGGAGGATCCACCGCGCTTTCGGCGAATAATGCCGGGGAGTGTTGCTTACGAATAACTCGAGTATACCTGATCCGGGGGGTGAATCGAGCGCGGAAGGAGGGGGGGGGGCGACGGGGGAATGAAAGGAAGCGGCGAGGCTGGACCGCCTTTAGCCGTCAGCATCGACAATCGAGTTGTCTCGGTGGAGACGGATGACGGATCGTTTCCGATATCATGGTCGACCTATTGAAACTTTATCGTACGTCGGGACGCGAGTTTTATGCTGCGGGAATTGCTTCAAAATCGATTATGCTCTCCTATTGTCGCGCGACGCCGCGGGACTCTCCGTTCGACGGGCGTAATTAATAATTTTCACGCGGATGAAAAGTTGATTTTGACATCCAGAAATAATAAAGAGGCTGAGGAAAACGGTCGCGGCGCGTGTACCTCTGGGAGAAAGATTATTACGGCTCGTATCTGCGGAAGAGATAATTCAGAAGAAAGCCAATTAAAAAAAAACGTCGTCGCTCCGCAAATAGTAACGACGGCGAAAAGACCCGTGAAGCTTTAGCTGTTTCCCGACGAGGAGAGAGAGAGAGAGAGAGAAAGAGAAAGAGAGAGCCTTCGATCGAGAGCCGCGCAATCACGTCCTCCTTAGAGACAAGTGTAACGCGCTTAAAAATTGGCGAGAACTTTTATTTCGGTCTAATTTTCCCCTCGGGACCTGTCGGGAGGCGGCAGGGGGTGGACTGAAAGGGGAAAACGTAGCGGGGAATATAGACACGGGGGTAAGAACGAGAAAGAGAGAGAGACGCACGATGAGAGTTTGGAACGATTATCTGAGTTTTAAAACAAACTCTCGAGTGTCTGCGAAGTCCTTCGCGAATCAGCGGGGGAAGGAGGGCCGGAGGTGCCAGAAGAGGGTCGGGGCGGGAGGGGCCTGCGACGAGAGGGGAAGAGGGGGTTACCGGAGGTGAGATAATATGCTAATGCCAAGACGGAAGGTACATGGGAATTTAAGAGGATCAATGTGCGCAGTACGAGATTCGTACGGGGAATGAGGTATTACAATGTCCTCTATATTGCTTCCAGGCGATTAGATTCCGGAAAGTTCGTTGAACACAGGCGACTAATTTCGACGAGATGAAACTTTCGATTTAACGTCGCTTTTATTAGATCTGAGTGTTCAATATCCATTTGCCCGGGGGTGAAGTAAACAGACGTATCGGACTCGAAATGATAGACCGAAGACTTGCGCAGCTTAAGAAAATGTCCCGTTT